TTTTTTTTTTTTTTTTTTTCTAGCGGATGGATCATTGGAAATAGCAATGAATCTAACTTCAAACGATGAATTACAACGTTGGGTCGAGTCATTCTCCTGCTGTCCCGGTCTGACTGTGGACGATTCATGCTCCGGTTTGATCGCACCTTCGGGGCCACAAACAATTGACGTGAACAGCATGCATAGTCTGGTTAGCATAAAAACTTTACATAAAAATGCCGGCATTTTTTTTCTCTAGCTGACGCAATCTTGCCTTTCAAACGAATTTATAATCAAACGAAAATTATTTGTGATTGCTCGTCGAGAATTTATAATCATATGTTCGCAGGACGGCATCATTTTCTCATATTCACCCCCCGGCTCGCTTCGTCTTTCTCCATCCCCCGTTGTTAACCAGCGATGTGATCTAATCAGTAAACTTTAGCCAGCTGAGCCAATTAAGTTTTAGCCATGCTGCCCCCAATTTTTATGTGTTTTAAGCAGGCAAAAAACGGCCTGTTAGGGACTTTCTGTCAAAATAAGTCGGTTTCCGGAGTTAGGCATCAAACGATGGACTTCTTCCTTAATCTTGTCACTCATAATAGTTATATAAATGCGGGAAATAAATACGCATTTGGGAATTTTCGTTGGCTAAACGTGCTTAAATCTCACCTTGCTTTATGTCTTTCTTTTTTTTTTTTTTTGCGATATCACTGGTAGTCTGTTATGCATTGAAATTGTCGCATCTACGAAAGCGGAAAATTTCGTTTTCATCGAACTAACGCTATTTTTTCACAATTTGTTTTTCCCATCAAGATCGATTTCATAATGTTAGGGATTTCTGAAAACGAAGATTGCAAAATTCGTCATCTTTGGGATGAGATTTCAATTATGTGCCCTCTTTTGGAACAGTTCCAAAACTGTCTATGTTGGAAAAGCCTCATTTCGTCCAGTATTTTACTGCATTTTTTTCGTCGCTGAGATTTTTTACGATTTTTGCTAAGGCTTTAACAGACCGCGATGTAATAGTAAGTTTTAACAAGTTGCTGCGGGCAAACCACACACATACATACAGACAACCCCGTGACAATATGTGTTTTGTACTGTTGTTACACAGCACAAAATGCAAAATTAACCGTTCTAAACGGCCAGTGTAGCAGTCAGTTGTTTCACTGCTCTTCAATTCTTTTCAATGTTTGTTTAATACTGGCATAAGCCAGGAAGTCAACCGCCATCAAGTGGTATCTAATTGACTCTCAGAAGAGTGGGCCATCGACAATTTTGCCTGGGAGGGGGAGGGGAGAGGGAGGTTGGGTTGCTTTTCACAAGTGTTACCCACTTTAACTTCTTCCACTTTTCTCCCCTTATTTCCTCTTTCCTCTTTTAAAGCAAGTGAAATATGGAAGGGGTTTTGGTTAGCAAATTAAACAGCATTAAAAATTGACTGCATTCATATATATATATATATATATATATATATATATATATAT